CAATTATGGTAATCTTTTTTCACCCTTCTATTGAGTCCTCACTTGTCTAACATATAGGAATTAAAAATTAAATCAATAGAAAAAAACTGACCCAGAAAACAATAAAAGTGGGTGGTATGTCGTAATATTCCCTTGCAAAAGAAACCTATAAAAGGTACCACTTTTGCCGAATTCTTCAGTCCAAAATTCACCACCGAATCAACTACCAGTGTTCTTCGTATCAGTCCGGGAAACGCCTTTAAGTTAACTAATTGTGTATTGTGTACTACCTATTTTCTTCGAGCTAGACTAGAAATCACCCTCTTATCAAATATCTGCGTTCTTCGTGTCAGTTCAATGACCGTTACCAACTTAACTAGTTGTGTATTGTCATCAGGTTTGTTCTTCGACTACAGTCCAGAAAACCATGTCTTCTTCGAGTCTCGTCTTAGTCCAATTCATTCAAGGAGATAATTTCTACTGCGAATCACATTTCTGTTTTTCTAAGGAATACATTGCGGGACGCATGATTATTCCCCAAATGTCATTTTTCCGAAATGTCATTTTACCGAACTGCACTTTTGCGAATAGTCATTTTTGCGAAAAGCCATTTTTGCGAAATGTCATTTTTACGAATAGTCATTTTTGCGAAAAGCCATTTTTGCGAATAGTAATTTTTGCGAAAAATCATTTTTACGAATTTTCATTTTTGCGAATCGCCATTTTTACGAATTGTCACTTTTGCGAATTGACATTTTTACGAATCGCTATTTTTACGAATTGTCACTTTTGCGAATCGACATTTTTACGAAATGTCATTTTTGCGAAAAGTAATTTTTACGAATTGTCGTTTTTGCGAATTGTCATTTTTGCCAAAAGCTATTTTTGCGAATTGTAATTTTTGCGAAATTTCATTTTTGAGAAATGTCATTTATGCGAATTGTCACTTTTGCGAATCGCCATTTTTACGAATTGTCACTTTTCCGAAAAGTCTTTTTTGCGAATAGTCATTTTTGCGAAAAATACAATAGTGAATCTATATATACCTACAAGTTTACTATTGTATTTTTCGCAAAAATGACAATTCGCAAAAATGACTTTTCGGAAAAGTGACAATTCGTAAAAATGGCGATTCGCAAAAGTGAAAATTCGCATAAATGACATTTCTCAAAAATGAAATTTCGCAAAAATGACAATTCGCAAAAATAGCTTTTGGAAAAAATGACAATTCGTAAAAATTACTTTTCGCAAAAATGGCTATTCGCAAAAATGACATTTCGTAAAAATGTCGATTCGCAAAAGTGACAATTCGTAAAAATGGCGATTCGTAAAAGAGGCATTATTCCTGAACTGCCCCAAAAATAAAAAAAAGTTCTTGGATTTCCTTTATACTTTGGAAATATGTTACCCTAGTAGGTACAAGTTACTACACCAATTTACAGGTCCAACCCCCCACCCCAATCAAAAGGGTGGGGGGTTGAAATTTCAGCTTCAACTCGAACATGCATTCTTTAAACATTTGTAGTTTCTACTTAAATTATTCAATTAAAAAAAGTAAGTAGTGTTTTAGAAAGGTTTTTTTGTGTACTTTTAAAATATTTTATTTATATAATAAAAAAAAAAAATTTTTTGCAAAAATTTTTTAAAATAAATAGTTTTTTGCAATTTTGTGCAAGTTCGGTAGTATTTATTTTCTTTTTAATAATCTCAAATGAAAGCTTGGGAATTCCCCTAAAAGAAGATATAAGTCTGAAAATGGGCCGAAACAATTTGCCAAAGATATAGTGTAATAAGTAAAATTTGTCCGTCCGCTCGCGCACTCCAGCGCGATGAACAGTGGGATTTTTTTTCAACTTACTATTGAAAATTGTCTAGAAACTACAAATTTTATCGGATGTTGATGTTCTTGATTTAAAATTACTAAAAGATCCATCAAAGTCGATTTTTGAATTTTTAATTGTTTATTTTTTTCTTGTTACTCAAAAATTTGACAAATTACAATATTTTTAGAAAAAATCATGTTAGTTTTTTTATTTTTCCATTTCACATGATCGAAATCAATTTAAATTAGTCTAGTATGACCACCGGACAATTAATAAAGCATAATACAATTTATTTTAATTGTTGCAAACAATGTTAATTAACAAATAGATTACTTCGGACCTTCTTCATAGAAAAAATTGGTTTTTTTGCAGACAAGTTTAAATTTATGTCTAATTTAGTAAAAACCTATTTTACAGTTAGAAATTATCATTAATATTAACAATTATATAAACAATAATCAACTTCCTTTTGTATTTGTAAACATTTTCGTCATTTTTCAAACTTTAAATATTTATATCATATGTACATTCTTTCAAAAACATAAAAACTTTATTAGCTTAAACAATTACATTTGTTATAAACAAACTTTTCATTTTTAAACAAATAAGTACCTTTTTGCATCAAACAAAATTTTTTCCTTTTTTTTATATTTACTATCATAAAAAAGAACTCCTTAATGAAATGGGAATACTATAAATTATTCATTTAATTCTAACGAACATTATAAGTTAAGAAATATTTATATTTTTAATGAAGTAAACCATTATTCAGTTAAAACAGTTTACATTTAAATGCATATAAATAAATATATTTTTTCTGTGAAAAAAGAACGAAGTTAAATATTTGTTAACTTATAATGTTTATTAAAATTAAATGAATAATTTATAGTATTCCCATTTCATTAAGGAGTTCTTTTTTATGATAGTAAATATAAAAAGGGAAAAATTTTGTTTGATAAAAAAAGCTAATTATTTGTTTAAAAATGAAAAATTTGTTTATAACAAATGTAATTGTTTAAGCAAATAAATTTTTTAAGTTTTTGAAAGAATGTACATATGATATAAATATTTAAAGTTTGAAAAATGACGAAAATGTTTACAAATACAAAAGGAAGTTGATTATTGTTTATATAATTGTTAATATTAATGATAATTTTTAACTGTAAAATAGTTTTTTACTAAATTAGACATAAATTTAAACTTGTCTGCAAAAAAACCAATTTTTTTTATGAAGAAGGTCCGAAGTAATCTATTTGTTAATTAACATTGTTTGCAACAATTTAAATAAATTGTATTATGCTTTATTAATTGTCCGGTGGTCATACTAGACTAATTTAAATTGATTTCGATGATGTGTAATGGAAAAATAAAAAAACTAACATGATTTTTTCTAAAAATATTGTAATTTGTCAAATTTTTGAGTAACAAGAAAAAATAAACAATTAAAAATTCAAAAATCGACTTTGATGGATCTCTTAGTAATTTTAAATCAAGAACATCAACATCCGATAAAATTTGTAGTTTCTAGACAATTTTCAATAGTAAGTTGAAAAAAAATCCCACTGTTCATCGCGCTGGAGTGCGCGAGCGGACGGACAAATTTTACTTATTACACTATATCTTTGGCAAATTGTTTCGGCCCATTTTCAGACTTATATCTTCTTTTAGGGGAATTCCCAAGCTTTCATTTGAGATTATTAAAAAGAAAATAAAAACTACCGAACTTGCACAAAATTGCAAATAACTATTTATTTTAAAAAATTTTTGCAAAAAAAATTTTTTTTTTTATTATATAAATAAAATATTTTAAAAGTACACAAAAAAACCTTTCTAAAACACTACTTACTTTTTTTAATTGAATAATTTAACTAGAAACTACAAATGTTTAAAGAATGCATGTTCGAGTTGAAGCTGAAATTTCAACCCCCCACCCTTTTGATTGGGGTGGGGGGTTGGACCTGTAAATTGGTGTAGTAACTTGTACCTACTAGGGTAACATATTTCCAAAGTATAAAGGAAATCCAAGAACTTTTTTTTATTTTTGGGGCAGTTCAGGAATAATGCCTCAAAAATGATTTTTCGCAAAAATTACTTTTCGCAAAAATGGCTTTTCGCAAAAATGACTATTCGTAAAAATGACATTTCGCAAAAATGGCTTTTCGCAAAAATGACTATTCGCAAAAGTGCAGTTCGGTAAAATGACATTTCGGAAAAATGACATTTGGGGAATAATCATGCGTCCCATACATTGCCTCGAGATCAACGTCAAATAAATAATTCGGTCACTCTTAAGCTGAGGGGTGTTCAATCTAATTTACATCTACACTTGAACTCCGGACCTTTCACTTTGGCTGACCCGAAAACAATTTGAGGGAAATCTACTACATTCTATTCTTCCGCTAGTCGAGGTGTTTTTCTCGACTTCACACTGAAGGAGGTATCGCTTACTGAGTCTACGACTCACAGAATAATTTTAAAATGTAAATAACTAATATTTAAAATTTTATCTTTCTATTTCATTCTAGTTGTAAAGGATTCAAATAAAAACTTTTATAATTTAATTTCAACAGTTCTTTTTTTTAAAACCTGCCTTAAGATAAGAGCTTTACGTTCTGTAAATAAATCAGGTATGAATCACTGATGCCGGACAATTTAAATATATATAATTTAGGATATGTTTAGTTTCCTTCTGACAATGAGGCATAACAGTAGCTAGCATTGAGTGACCATAATACGCCTTTGTTGACAAAAATCGTACAAGCTCCTTGACAACGCTATGACCATCACCTCCAATCACATTCGCTATATGTTTTCTATAATCTACGTGTGAAAATAAATATCTTTACCAAAGAGCTCTCTGGGTCAAATAGTTTAGCCGTTAGGAGGGTACACGAAGTTGGCTACAGACGCAAGAGTCTCGCCAGTATGGTTTCGTTGATCACCATAGGTGTACGAAACTCTAATAACGTTTATTTTAATATTTTGAAAAGGAGAGCAGCTGGGATTTTCTGCAACATTGCATTTGATTACTTTCGATGTGCTTAAAAAGATGTGACCATAACTTAAAGTCACCACTTTATTGAGTCTTTAATTTGTTGAGGAGAGGTGTGACCTCTGAAATTACTAGAGTTCTAGCTTATCTTTCATATTTCCTAATAAAAAGAAATTATTGAAGGATTTACGCATTTTCGTTTACAGATTTTTATTTACAGTAGTTTGTTGCGAGGAAATGACTTTAAATGAAATTGGTAAGTTATATTATTTCAGTACGAAAAATGCAAAGATACACTGACTTAAGAGGGAATCAACGTCGATAGGCTTTTTTTAAAGTAGTTCCATGTAATTACATCAACTTTGATATCCCCTTAAGCATATTTGTCCTTTGTTTAAAGTATTCTATACACAAATTAAATTATACCTAATGAATGATACTTATAGGTGAATTTATCACTAACGGAATGGATAAAAAGGTAGATCCATGTAACAATTTTTATAATCATGTTTGTGGTAATTGGGAAAATTATTGGACCAATAAATTAGTTTGGAATGTGATGGAAATGAGTAAACAATATCTAATTCAAAAAATGAAAGGTACTATACGCAACAGTAAAGAAATTGATAAAGGAATCCTTGTCCTACATCGCAAAAAGAGGTGTCTTGGTCACCTCTTTTTGCAGTGATATGCATTCATTTCTAACAATCATTAAAAATTATAATTTTACGAAAATGTCATTCATTTTTAAGATGTTCTAGAAAGCAGTGATATTAATGAGGATAATGTAAAACTAATTATGGAAAAGAAATATTATGAGGCTTGCATGGATACAAGTAATTATGTGATAGAATAATGTTGTTATCATCAATTTACAGATAATAAGTATACTTCAATTTATTCTAATAAATTTATTTGCAGATTATTCTCTTGTTGAAGGAAGTAATTTCTATGTGAATTTAGTAACAAAGAGTGACAGATTTAATTTAAATTGGAAAAGACTGGTTGAATATTATGCAGAAAAAATTGGTGAAACTTTTCTTTTTCATATTATGCTAGACGAAAGTAAGGAATTCAGTGTAAGAATTAATTTTTAAATTATATTCGATTCAGAAATTTAAACCTTTTTATTTTTGTTTATATCCTAAACTGTGTATGTTTAAATATGGTACAAATTTTATATAGATTGTTAGACCCTATATGTCTAAAACAAACCATGTACCATATGAAATGTTGGACTTTCAAGATATAGATTTATTCTTTAAAATTCGTTTTGGCATTCAGCACGGGTCGAATAATAAATTCAGAGAACCATTATTACGATTTATACAGGATATTAATGAGGTAAATTAAATTATCCTCATCTAGATTTAAATAAAATTGAATCTTTCGTGCTACTATTGTTATTTAATTTTCGTTGTGCTAAGATTCTTTTTAGTGTCCTGAAGAGGTTACCTAGAGTTCGTATTACATAACACCTATTGCATCTAACGACCAAACATCTGATCCTGATTATAGGGATAATATAAAATCGACCTTTATGTGTTCTGACTTTTCCAGTTTTTAACCTCTTTCAATTTTAATAATTATAATTAATTTACAGCTAATTTTAATAACAATTTAATAAATTAACTTTTTGTAGATCGTTAATGAAGGAGAATCATCTGAACGTTATTTAATCTCTGGAGATGTTTTGAAAGTACAAAAAATATACGAATCTCGTTGCTCATCATTAAGTCCTAAATCAGAGGTAATACATACATATTAAGCAAGAATAATGAAACAATTTAATACATAAATATTTCTATATCCTCTCTACTATTTTCAGATAAATTGGCTTAAATTTCTTCAAATACTTGCTGGTCGTAATGGAAAGTTTGTAAGACCATCATTTAAAATAAAAATTGATGAGGATTATTTAAGTCAATTATGTGAAATCATAAGTAGAACATCAGACGAGATAATTTGTAAGTTGCATTCTTTTGTCACAGAGTATCTATTATAAATAATTTAAAAATATTCTGTTCTTTGTTTTAATTCCAATGATAAATAATTTTCAGATATATATTTGCATTACAATTTTGAATTTGATGACAAGGTATTGTTTTATACTAACATCAAGAATACAATGACATCTTTTAAGAGGTACACGATGAATATAATTTTAATCTTCAAATATAAATGTACCCGGTAAGAAGCGAGGAATAGAAAAAGATTAAATTTCCAGAAATATTCTGTTAAACGAGTATTTTTTAATCTTTCTGAATAGGCGAATTTCCAAAAAAACCCAATTCCTCTGTGAACAGCAAAATATCAGAAAAATTAATTCTTCTCTATTGTTCGTGTCAATGAGATGATAAAAAAGAATTAAGAGTTTCCATTTTTTTAAATGCGCAAAATTTTTCTGCTGCTCAACGTTCCAAAAAAATACAGAATTCTATCCTTTTGAATCGACAAAGTAAATCTTGTAAAAGCGAACTGAAAAAAATAAGAAATAGCTATTCTTTTCAATCGACTTTAAACGATTCTACGAAGTCAATACAAACGAATAGAAATTGTTTATTCTTTTCAAATGACTGCTTCGAATTTTAGAAACGCATTAAAAGGAATAGAACTTTTGACAAACAATTTGAAAAAGCCTAATCTTTCCAATTATTTGTAGGAGCTTCTCTAGTTATTGTCTTAAAATAAAACGCAGTGACAGCTATTTTTCGCGTCGTGTGAATTTCATTGTGATTTCAGTGCTAAATTATTAAAATGAAATATTAAAACTAGTGAAAATATGGTTAAAAACGCACAGTGCTTACGATAAAATAAAAAATTTTCTTATTGACATAAATGAAAGAAATTTTCAAGTGTTCAATGTTTAACGTCAAGTTTTCAAAACCTAACCTTTTTTCAAGTGAAATATTGAGTGATAGTAAAGCAATTCAGTGGAATAGAAATTTCTACTGATTTGTTGTACTCTCTCACTCTTTTGAATGCGCGTTTCATATTTTGGTGAAGTCAATTAAGAATAATAGATTTTGCTACTTTTCCTTGTTCCACCGAGGAATTGGATTATTTTGGAAATTCGCCCATTCAAAAGAAATGAACTTCTGAATTCTTTTCAATTCCTCGCTTCTTACCGGGTATGTTTTGGAATTTGAACACAATTCTTTTAATTTTGTTCATTGACAGATGTCAATATTTTACTACATATTTACAATATAAATTCTGATTATACTAATTCATTAGCTACAAATTTCTAAAAAGAAAAACATTTCATAATAGATCTGAAAAATGTTTAAATGATTTACCATTAACCTCAGGAGTTAATAATGAAATAATGAATAGTGAGGAATTTCAGGAACGAAAGAGTACTGTAAGCAAATAAAATCAGTTTCACTTTATATATTTTAATTTTACTGTTCTTCTATTTTTAACATTTTAATTTTCTTAGGTCATGAGAATATTTAACTATTTGAAACCCTTATTACGAGAAGAAATTTTAAATAGTTGGCTCGAAGATGGTGCAAAAGAGGTTGAAGTAAAGGAAGTAGAGAAAATAATACTCAAAATAACAGATATAATTGAAATTGATTTCCATTTTATGTTAGAGACAAAATTAATGTCATATGATGTGAGAAAATGTACTTATGTTTAAATTACAGGATATTATCTCAGGGAACTTATAGTTATATATTTTTTATACAGTTTGAAATTACACCAATTGGTCTTCAAAATTTTATTAATTTCAAAAAGGCTGAGATAGTGAATATATTTGAATTTTCTCTAGAGAAGCAGGATGGGGAAAGTGGTAATAGTAGGTAAGTAGCTAACAGGTAGACAGCTATAAGACGTGTCTATGACTTTTGTGTAATATTTTTAATTGGTGTACTTTACTGGGGTAGGATTCAGATATAATACTCTCTTTCTGATAGATGTGATGTACTTGATTTTCAAACTAATACTCTGTTAATTCAATTCACATGACTATGTTCTAAAGGCGATTCTCAAATACTTTTCTCGTAGATGTTAGGTGCGGTTAATTTTCAAAATAATTCTTTCTCTTGTACCGACGACTACTTCTGATGACAACATTTTCTTGACTGACTACCATTATTATTATTAGTTATGGTGACGTGACAAAATTTATATTTATATTTATAAGTTACCAATTTACGAAATCTTTATAGAAGGACAAAGAGAGGAATCTATTTAAACGCAGTTTTCACCGGCACTGAAAATAAAGTTTGTAAGTAACTTTTTTGCTTAAGTCATACATAAACAAACATATATTTAAAATTATATTGATTTGAATTTTTCACTCGGTGGTATTGAATAATATTGATAGCTTGATCGATCACTCCAAGTCAGTCAGAAAGATAAAAAAGTTAGAAAATTATTCTTTATGTTTCAACGGCACAGCCGTCCTCTTCAGAAACTGAAAGTTTATTATAATAATTTATAAATATACGTACTTATCTAATACTTATGAATTATTAAAATATTGGAATATAAGTGGATACTTGATCAAATCATACAGTGACTTTGCTCTGACGTAAACTAATACGAATCCTTCTAAGTTTTATGGCCTACCAAAAATACATAAAAAGGATTGTCCTTTTAGACAAATCGTTTGCACTATATATGTTAACCAACATATTTTCTTTCCAAGCTTGTTGAATATTCTAAATCAATCTATACCAAAACCAGAATCTTACATATATTCGCAATAGTTTTGATTTCATTGAAAAGATTAAAAATTTCATTACTCCGGATGATCATATATTAATTAGTCTATAGATGTCAAATCTCAAAATTTTTCGAGTTCGATTTTTTGACATATCTTTATGTTATTTGATCTCAAAAATGACATTTTTAAAAAATTTCATTCCGTATCTGTGTGTGTGCGTGTATGTGTAAACATTACATTTTCATAAATATCTCGAGATTATGGAGAGCTTTTGGGTTGGATTTTTTTTAAATTGTAGGTCTCACCTGCGGACATAAAATGATCTTTGTATTAATTACCATATTGATTTTATAGATAAATACGAAACGCATTTGTTCTATAGAATCCAATGTTCAAAAAAACCATGTAAATTCATTTTTATATAGAAGATCACCAAAAGTTTTTTTACGATATGTACAAAATTTGTATGAAAAAACATCATTAACCCTTAAACAACATAATATTTTAACTGTACCAACCAATAATAATGTTTTGAATAATTTAATCAAAAAGGGCTTGATCTTGGCGAACACATTGAAGCTGGAATTTTAAGCATAAGAAAGACGAAAAAGACGCAATTTTTCAAAATTACAAAATGGGGCTATTAGGAACAAGGCGGTAAAAACCATTGGAAAACGTATTTAAAGTTAAAGAAGTTATTTTTTATTGCTCGAAAGTACACACAAAATTTGAAACAAATGAAAAACAAAACTAAAAGAGCGAATGTGTGTTTTAAACGTTGCTGGTATTATCAGTTGAGGTCGATGATGGAATCACTGGTCGTTTTTTGCGACTTGTCGGTCCCACCACTCTTTTACAATTTCGAACCATCTTTGAACACTAAAAACCAAATTAGGTGATAAAAAAAAGAAATTACGAAAAACTTACGTTTTGACAACACACTTTAACAATTCGGAAGAAAGAATTGTGTTCCTTATATACCCACGGTTTATGAATTTGGTATTTGTTTCTAAAATCCTACTGAAAATACAAAATAAACATATTTATTACTTAGTGAACTCAATAAAGTTATTCCCATAAGAAATCCCATTAATAAAAAACAATCACTTTGAGAAGTTAAAAATGAAACAACTTACCTCACACGGAAAAAATAAGTTCAGCAGATTTTACGAAACTAATTTCGCACTAGCGGATATTTAAGATTCCTTGACGAAGTTTTTCAAAAACCCAGAAACTTTCACTACTTTAAGCAGAACAATTTTCGAGAAACTGCAACCAGTTTTGTAATTTCTAAAACAAGCTTGAATGTAGAAATGTTTCGTATTTCCTGATGAACATTTTATTAGAAAATGGTAAAAATGTTTCGTGCAATCTAAAAACGCGTGGTTTGAGTTTCCACTTCGCTGTCTATCGTGAATTCTCGAACAGAGTTTCGTAAAATTCTATACGGGGTGTACCAAAAGTCGCGTTATAAATAGATATGTTAAAGTTTGTCTCGTCGCGTCGGTATTAACTTGTCTGCTGTATATGTGATCTGGTCTATGAAAAGGGACCTTACGTGTCAAAAAATCATTTTTTTGCTTTTTTGTTGATTCGGATAGGGTTTGAATCGCGCTTTAAGATGGTGAAAACCAAATAGTCATAAGTTGATTAGAAATTAAAAAAAAAAAAATTTAAGTCAAAAGACAAGAGTAAAAATACAAAAAAACTGATTTTTTGTTATTATAGAAATTAAAATAACGAAGACGATAATTTTTTATTATTTAGAACAGTTGACAGTTTTTCTGCCAACTGTCAACAGTTAAAATTCAAATTTGTTATCATATTCGTAATCAACGACCTCAAAAACCTTATTTTTAAGGTCTTGTTTACAAAAAACGATCACTTTTTAGAGAAATTGACAGCTGTCAACTGTCAAATTGTCAATTTAACATTATATTCGTAATCAGCGGCCTCGAAAACCCTTACAAACATGTGTCACTTATTTATACTTATTGTAACTATTTAGAAAATTTAGATTATTTTTTCTATGTTTGGGGTGTTTGTTATTAATTTATATAAACAATTATTATTAAAAAAAAATTTCATTACTTGTATGTTTTTATTTTGATGCTGTGATCCACAGTGAAGAAAATAAGCCTAACTTAATTAAAAAATTTTAATATTTAAAAAAGTTACAAGGGTTTTTCTAAGTTAAACTTTAACTGCTGTTTTCTCGAAAACTTGTTTTCGCACGTAAGGTCCCTTTTCACTGTCCAGGTCACATATAGAGATCAATATCCCGTGTGGAAAAATATTGTGGCAGTCTAGAGTCCAATGATTTCCCGATTTGCAATCATCAAGTCCGTCTAATTCTACACGGTCCATCAAGTCCCGAATCAGTGACTTAACAGATGGGCTTATTAGAAAAAATCTAAGTCAAATATGTCCGTCTAGTACGGTGTTATTAAGACCGTCTAGATTTGGTCTAGGATGTTATATGCGCATGCGTCGATGTATGCCCAGCTGTTAAGTAACATGGCGCCTAATGGCGTCGCGTCGTTTTGCGTCGTTAGATCAGTCAGCGTATGGTGCATTTTCTTTGTGAATTTCAGTATTCGTTGTGGCTTCTGTTTTATGTGAATAATAATGTGCTACGTTGTTGCTGTTTTCTGTATAATTTAATTTTAAATGTGCACTGAAAAAAATAGATTTTGATGTGTTTGTATGTGTTTTGATTAGTCGGCTGAAGCTAGCAGTCGTACTCAGCATCAATGTTTAGGCGTCATCTACCAATATGCCTCTCCTTTAAATTTAGAAATACTTAATGATTTAAAAAACCATCAAGTATTGTTATTTGAGAATCAATATCCACTAAATAGCAAATTTAGTAAGTTTTTATTTTATTAATTTCATTAATTAGTGGTTAAGAACGTTCGATGGTTTCTGAAATTTGTAGGTTATGTGCGACTTACAGTTATCGCCCAAAAAAACGGCACTGCCTGTTTGAAATGACGTGAAATTAGTAAACAACCGTTTTCGAACGAGTTTTTCTTTGCACACAGGCACTTTTTACAAAATCTGACAACGTACATTTGTCACAAATGTTTTTAATTGTCTGAATTCAAAAGATTTTGTTAATCCATGCAGAAACGCGGTTGCAGGATTGGAATTACAAAAGTAATGTAATGACAGGCGGCAAGACGTATGTTACAGCCATTTTGCCAGTAGAGGGCAGAAGCATGCAGGGAGCGTAAAGGCTCAGCTGTCAAAATGATTCACATTACATTGCTATGGTAATTCCAATCCTGCAACTGCGTTTCTGAATGGATTAACAAAATCTTTTGAATTCAGGTAATTAAAAACATTTGTGACAAATGTACGTTGTCATATTTTGTAAAAAGTGCCTGTGAACAGAGAAAAATTTGTTAGAAAATGAATGTTTACCAATTTCACGTCATTTAAACTGGTCAGTGCCGTATTTGTTGGGTGATAACTGTTAGTCGCACATTATCGAGAAATTTAAGAGACCATCGAACACCGTTAATGCCTAAAGATTGGTGCTGAGTACGACTGCTAGTTTTATCCGGCTGTTTTGATTTGCAGTTAATTTTATTTTACAAAAAGACTACTATTTCTAATGCCAAAGATTGGGAGGGACACAAAGCCTTACGCTTAAATAAAGTTGAAGTGAAAAATACAGAAAGTTAAAATATTTTTTTATACTTTTTATGTAAAAAAAGTCATTAAAATTATTTCAAATATAATTAAGTCTTATCATTCTTAATTCAGATAAGAATTTACTAGCACTGCTGATCACCCTGTTGAAAGTAGAAAGATAGAAGTAGATAAAAACTGATAGATCACTTATTATTTTTAACGGTTTTAACATCATTTTCTAAATCAACAGTTTAGTATGTACATTATTACTGCACATGGTCTGGTGCATGCTTCACCCTACTGAAAATCCCTGTATAAGATCTTGCACAAGAAAATGCACACGTTCAGCAGCTGAACTTGTACAAGAAAATGTACAATTTCTTGTATACGGATTTGAAACAAGTTCTTCTATTGGAACTTGTACAAGAAAATGTACAGACTTGTACAAGAAAAGAAACTAGTACAAGAAAATGTATATGATCTTGTACGGGTTCATGTACAAGTACTTGTACATATGAACACGTTCATGTTCTTGTACAAGTAAATTTATAAATAAATTTTTTTTAGAAAATTGGAATAAGTAAATTTATAAATAATTTTTTTTTAAACCTACAAGTGCGAGTTATATTGTATATGCGTTGCGTAAGAATTCGTTTATATTTATGCGTATTTCCGTTAAGTTAGTGTTAGAATAAAATAAGCCAATCAAAGCGAACCATTGCGTTGTAGAGTGCAGTCACATGTGTCGAACCAATCATCTATCTCCTATAGAAGACGAGAAAAAATGGTCTTGAGAGCTCATTGGTACTTTAAGAAATTCTTTTTTCTGCTTCATTCGTTTTTTTCTCCGCGTGAATATTTTTTTCCGCGGCGCATGCGCTTCAGGCTAAACATTTTACAAAACTCTTGAATTAGAACGTCCAAACGATAATTTGTGAATTCCACAGAAGTTTTTTTGAGTTTTCGAGAAACGCAGTCATCATTTATTACTATTGATTCTGTTTTAACTTATACTAAACTCCTCTCCGTATCCGCTATTCCAAAATTAGTTTCGTAAAATTTACTAAATTAATTTTTTCCGTGCAGCGATCAAATGTTTTCCACGTTTGAAACTTCACTAAAACACATTAAGTCACTTACAAGCTACTACTGTTCACAAAATAATTAATAGTCACAATTATTGCATTGAAAAGTATTGCCAGTTACCGCAGCAACAATTTTTCAAAAGCAAGTAACACAATTTATTTTTTTCCTAATAGCCCCAGTATACGGTATAAGGATTGTTCAGCATCTTATGTTGGTGAAACAAAAAGAATGGTGGGAGTTCGTATCAACGAACACAAAAAAGCTAAAATTGGCTTTACTGATACTCACAGAAACTTAATGACTTTGACTGGAATAATTTTTATATACTTGACAAAGAATTTAATGAAAGCAAACGTCTAATATCGGGTCGATTCTGTAACTTTCCCACTCCCACTTTCCACTCTCACTTCACACTCTTATTATCCCACTCTCACTTCCCTCTTCCACTTTTCACTCACACTTCCCATCTTCCACTTTCCACTCACACTACCCACTTTCCACTCTCACTTCCAACTCCCACTATTAACTTCCCACCTTTCACATTTCACACTCACACTTCTCACTCTCATTTCTATTTCCCACCTTCCACTTTTCACACTCCCACTTTCTCCTCCCACTTCCTTCTTTCCACTTTGTACTCCCACTTCCCTCATTGCGTATTTTTGCACTTCCCACTCTCACTTATTATCTTCTACTTTCACTTCCTAATTTCTATTTTTTACATCTTCTTTTCACTTTTAAGCTCTATCTTCCATTTTTCACCCCTTCTTTACACTCACACTTACTTCTCTCACTTTCTACCTTGAACTCTTAATCGTTAATCAGGCATAAGTAAGAAGTGAGAGTGTAAAATGGGAGTGAAAAGTGAGAGTTAAAAGTAGAAAGTAAAAGTGGAATGTGGTAATTGAGAGATGAAAGTGGAATGTGAGAACTGGAAGGTGGGAGTGGAATGTGAGAAGTGACAGTGGGAAAGTTACAGAATGGGGGAAGTAGGAGTTGGAAGTGAAAGTGTAAGGTAGGAGTAGAAAGTGGTTGTGAAAAGTTAAAGGTGGGAAGTAAAAGTAGGAAATAGAAGTGAGAGTGAAAAAAAAATTGGATAGTGGGAAGTGGAAAGTGAGAGTGGAAAGTGGGAGTGGGTAGTAAGAGTGAAAAGTGGAAGGTGGGAAGTGTCAGTAAAAGTGGGAAGTGAGAGTGGAAGTGGGAAATGAGAGTGGGAAGTACAAGGTGGGAGTGGGAAGTGGGAGTGAAAAGTGGGAGTGGGAAACTTACAGAATCGACCCCCAAATGATTCATATTAATTTGCAAAAGAATGCAATAAACAAAAAAGATGATACTCAAAACCTTAGTAATTGTTATCTTCATTTCCTTAATGAGAGAAAATATTTATAGCCTTTTCATTGTTTAGTGACACCTTGACATTTCTCTTAATTATTCGCAGTATTGTAATAAGTTCAATGAACTTACTTTCCCTCTCTTCACACTTATTTTAATGACTTTATAATTGAGCAATGTCTATTAGCAATCGTGTCAAGCGAGACCTTTAAACAATCGACAAATTGTTTAAATATGTCAAAATTTATTTCTATATTCTCTTTATGATAAATACCTAGTTATTTTAAACTTTTTTTAATTGTAAATTTTTATGTACGTATATTTATAAATTATAATAAACTTTCAGTTTCTGAAGAGGACAGTTGTGCCGTTGAAACGTAAAGAATAATTTTTTAATTTTTTTTTATCTTTCTGACTGACTCGGAGTGATCGATCAAGCCATCAATATTATTTAAAATTATGTTTTTTATTTAAGTGTTGACTCCAGCACTTTTGTTTACACCCTTCTTTAATAAGGATGCACCAATGTAAGTTATTTCTATACCTACTTTAATGAAAAAATATTACAATCTATTTCTAACACACAAATTAAACAGGGCCTACAATATTGCAAATTTAGGAGTTCTACTTGGACATGAAATGTCTCATTCAGTAGATATTTCATCTCTTACATTTATGTACGAATGTAAGTATATTACAATATATCATTTTACCAATCTGACTTTCAATATTACATAAATTTACATACATCTTCTAATAGAAATAATTTTCATTTACAGCTTCATGGATAGAGAATAATTCATACACTGCAAAAATATTTGATGAAAAAAAAAGTTGTCTCGTGAATCAGTTTAATAATTTAAAGGTAATAACAAGTTCAGAATATAAACATATTCCCTAAGTTCCTTAAATTCTTGTCAAACATTGTATTTAGTTATGTACAATGAAAAATACATATACAATCCTATAAAATTGATTGAAAATAATTGTTAATTGTACTAATTGTTTATGTTATTTTCAATTTTCTTATGTAGGAAGATGGTACGTTTACCTTGAATGAAAATTTTGCAGATGTACTAGGATTAAAATTGGCATTTGAAGCGATGAGACGAGTAATTGATGACGATCCATCGTTAGGAGATCTAACACTGCCGGGTTTCGAAGAATGGAATGCAAAGCAATTATTCTTCATTACCTATGCTAACGTAAAACTTAAAAATTATCGTTGTAATTTTTTGCATTTTATTACAATATCTATACAGATGTAATATTTATTAATTTCTTTGACAGCAATTTTGTGAAAAAAATGTAGATTACTTTCTGTCAATTCATTCATCAGACGAAGCAAGAGTCATTGGTCCTTTACAGAATTCGAAGGCTTTTGCAGAAGCATTTAATTGCAAAGAAGGTCAACATATGAATCCAGTAGATAAATGCGACTTCTGGGAGGCTCCAATTCCTTAGTTCATTGTTTATGCTTCTAATTTCCAATAATTAGAATGAATTTTCCTTTACAAAAATTGTAGAGAAAAGAATATTAACTACGATAACAGATATTTTATTGTCTTTAACAAAAATATTTTATACAATGTTAAAAAAAATTATAAATAAAAAGTCTCTTGAGAGAAAATTAAAATTAGCGGTGTATTTATGATAAACATTAATCATGAAAAAAATTTTCCTGAAGTTGAATTTCTTATATCCTGACGATCTTTTTAGAACGTCGTCCCAAATGTAGCTTTCTCTTTCGCTGCCGAAGTAAAAATGATCTTCTTTCAGTCGCGCAAGTGTTTTGTATACTCCTGCGAGCTTGGAGTATGATTGGATGCTGAGAAGAAAGAGTGGGACGTAAGGCGTTAATGTCGATTTCCCACAGCCAATGACTGTCAAAGCTGCGAAGCTTCCCCCACTCCTGCGACTCATGGAGAGTATAAAAATATGCATCCCAGTCAGTTAAATACCATTCTTCCCCCAAAGTTACAGACCTATCAGTTTACTAACAACTTTTAGTAAACTTTTTGAAAAAATAATCTACAATAGAATTGCAAAATTTGAAAAACATAACAAAATAATTCAGCCCCAACAATATGGTTTTCGACCAAATAGAAGCACCACTCAACAACTTTTTAAATTAACAAATTATATTAGCACAGAATTTAATAAAAATAAACATACAACAATGGTACTGCTTGATATGGCCAAAGCCTTTGACACCGTTTGGCATAAAGCACTCATACACAAATTAAACAACTTTAAACTTCCTCTATACATACTTAAAATAATTCAAAATTATCTTAAAAACAGAACTTTTGTAGTCACTGTAAATAATGCGGAGTCTTCCGAAAAATCAGTGGTGGCCGGAGTACCGCAAGGAGGTATTCTTGCGCCTTGTCTCTTTATCTACTATACGAGTGATCTGCCCACACATAAATGTGTTAAAGTGGCACTCTTTGCCGACGACACTGCTCTCTATGTTTCCAGTTTGAGAAGATGGTTAGCTCTGAAACACATTTGTATGTGTTTCATATGTTCATTTGTATGTTGAGATACAAGAGTATCTCAACATTTTGGTTGAATACTATGAAAAATGGAAAATAAAAATAAACAGTGATAAAACGGAGCTGATAGTCTTCTCAAACGTAATCAAGGAAGAAAAGAAAAAATCGGACAAGTGCGAGTTGCACTCGCATTAAGATCGAGGGTTCCGTACACCAAAATAAAACTCATTTTTTATAAAAAAATTATTTCAAAAATTCTTACAAAATTTGAAAAAAAAAAAATTTTAAATAGTAATATATTTTTTTAAATTTTGAATAAATGTTTTTATTATTTTATTTTATTAATAAATCTTTTCATTTTTTCTTTTATAGTACTTATCTTCGCCAATCACATTCTCTTTTTTTTTTCTATCATTTGCACTTGAAAAAGAATATACAAGCTAAATTTTAACTCACCAGGTTTAAATTTATAAAAGTTAAAGTAGGGACAGTGTAATTTTTTCGAAAAATTCAAATTCTTGCCCTTCAATTTCGCAAATATGTCCGTCAATCAGGTTCGCTATATTTTTCCTGTAATCTTCACTTAAAACTAAAGATCCCTACCGAATTTCAGCACAACCGGTTAAGATTTGTAAAAGTTAAGGAGGAGACAGGGTCTTTTTTTGCAATTTTTTCGAAAAAATTCAATTTCTTTCCCTCCTAGTTCCCAAATATCTCCACCAATCAGGTTCGTTATATTTTTCCTGTAATCTGCACTTAAAACTGAAGATCCCTACCGAATTTCAGCTCATAAGGTTGAGATTTGTAAAAGTTAAGGGGGGGACAGGGTCATTTTTAGCATTTTTTTCGAAAAAATTGAATTTCTTTCCCTTCTAGTTCGCAAATATGTTTGTCAATCGGGTTCGCTATATTTTTCCTGTAATCTGCACTTGAAACTGAAGATACCTACCGAATTTCAGCACAACCGGTTAAGATTTGTAAAAGTTAAGGGGGGGACAGGGTCATTTTTAGCATTTTTTTCGAAAAAAATTGAATTTCTTTCCCTTCTAGTTCGCAAATATGTTTGTCAATCGGGTTCGCTATATTTTTCCTGTAATCTGCACTTGAAACTGAAGATCCCTACCGAATTTCAGCACAACCGGTTAAGATTTGTAAAAGTTAAGGGGGGGACAGGGTCATTTTTAGCATTTTTTTCGAAAAAAATTGAATTTCTTTCCCTTCTAGTTCGCAAATATGTTTGTCAATCGGGTTCGCTATATTTTTCCTGTAATCTGCACTTGAAACTGAAGATCTCTACCGAATTTCAGCACAACCGGTTAAGATTTGTAAAAGGTAAGGGGGGGACAGGGTCATTTTTTGCAATTTTTTCAAAAAAATTCAATTTCTTTCCCTCCTAGTTCCCAAATATCTTCACTAATCAGGTTTGCTATATTTTTTCTGTAATCTGCACTTGAAACTGAAGATCCATACCGAATTTCAGCTCATAAGGTTGAGATTTGTAAAAGTTAAGGGGGGGACAGGGTCATTTTTAGCATTTTTTTCGAAAAAATTGAATTTCTTTCCCCCTCCTAGTTCGCAAATATGTTTGTCAATCGGGTTCGCTATATTTTTCCTGTAATCTGCACTTAAAACTGAAGATCCCTACCGAATTTCAACTCACCAGGTTCAGATTTGTAGAAGTTAAGGGGGGGGACAGCCCATTTTGCGTGGCTGGGACGGACACACGAGTGATTTCATAAGGGTTCCGTCAGTACACCTATGGTGTACGGAACCCTAAAAACAAGATGTTATCATTGATGGCGTTAAAATCGAGATAAAAAAATGTTAGGGGAGAGTCTCCAGTTGTGAGACACCTCCAGTTGTGAGACAGTCAATTTTTTTTAACATGCAATACTAAAAAGCCGATTGGTTTATATAAAAACATTTCTTTTTATATGAGCCAACTTTTTCGTGTACGCCGAAGCGGATATATAAACTGTTTTTGTTAAATACCAACACTGTGTGTGATAATCGACTAAAAAGCGTTTTTTCAATAAATGCAAAGTACTTTTTTTCCAAGTTAATTAATTGGAAAAGGTAAATGTAAGGCATTTTCTTTTAGTGTCTTCCTTATATTTTGTAATGCAATATTGCATTGTTCCAATCTACGGTTGAAAATAATTTAATTTTCCTTTTTCAAAATAGCGCCAATTTCTGGGTGTGAGACACAGCATATCACCAGTTGTGAGACGGTGTCAACACCCATCTGGGCAGCATAAAAAATACGACTTTGCAGGCATACTATTTAAATGTTGTTTTGATTTTTTTTCTAGCATTTTTGGGCATGTCAAGTGGAAAAAAGTCAATTGATTCAGAAGAAATCAATTTTAATGCTCTTGTTGAAGCTTTTAAATTGTGTTTATTTAATAGTCATATTTTGGCGAATAAATATTATTATTTAGTATATAATAATATATATTATTAATATATTTAATTATTTCTACTAAACATAACGTTTTATGTCAAACTTATTAAATTTTAGCAATTTTTAATGAGTGTCTCACAACTGGAGACATTTTTTTTTGTTGAAAAAAGCGATGTGCTCGGAAAATGTATCGTAAAATTTTTTGAGTTCATCGAAACACTATACTTTCTTTTAAAAAAAGTTGCGTATTTGGGTGATTCTCCTGAAAGGGACCACTTCACGTGTCTCCAACATGAGGTTCATTATTTAAATTAATTTTTCATTAATATTTTATCAAGTTTAAATTTTTTGAAAAATTTATTTATAATCTACGAAGATTTATCTATCTTTATATAATCTTCTATTGCTTATATTTAAATTTCTTCCTATTTAAAAAACATATTTAATTTTGTCATCGAATTTTGGTTAAACAGAATGTATATTTTATAATTATATTTTAACGTATTTAAACAATTCCAACATATTTATGATATATATCAAATTAAAGTTTAGAATATAAGGATTATTTTTTACTTACATTTGTTTAAAATAAGGTAAAAAAAGTTATTTAAATTATTAATTAAAATAGTATTATCAATGAGAGTAAAAATTAAATTCATCTCCGAAGCCTCATTTTCTATATAATAACATCATATTTTTTAACGTTTTAAACATAATATGTAATCGATGTGAAAATATTTGATGATTAAAACTAAAAATATTGTTTAAAAAATTGTAATATATTTAAAATTAGAAAAAATGAGAATTTTTTCATTAAATTATCAATTCATCTCCGAAGCCTTTTTTATATTTGATAGGCGTTTTCTTTTGTTTTTAATTTTTTAATCATTGTTTTGAAATATTTAACCCTCAAATTAAATTATTAATTTAATAAAAATAAAATATACAAGCAAAAAGTGCAATAAATTAAAACATAACAATTTATTATTTAAAAAAAATATTCCTACCGAGTTTTTTTTACAAAATAATTAATTTAAAAGTTATAATTAATTATACTTAACCTCTAGAACACATGATAGTAAAATGTTCCTGGAGGTCTTATTTCTGAAAATTAATTTTGCGCAACTTATATTTTTATCTTTAAACATTTTCTAAACTTATTTATGAAAGAAAAGTAACAAAAAAAGAATAATTTGATTTTTTGGAAATTCAACCAAAAAAGGGTCCCTTTCAGGAGAATCACCCATTTATGTTACCTTTCGAACGGTGTATTTTATTTACAATTTCGTTTACCCGTTTACAATTTACGGGTCAAAAATAAAACCCGTCTCACAACTGGAGACTCTCCCCTAAATACTTGGGTTATTATCTGGATCATAAATTATTACATAACTATCATATTAAAGAAACAAAGAATAAAGCTTATATCATTGATATGATGCTGCATCATTTAATAGGTAGGGCAAGTACTCTTTCTCTAAAAAATAAATTAATATTATATAAGCAAATTGTAAAACCGATCCTTCTATATGCAGTGGCGATCTGGTCAAATACAAGTGAAACCCAATACGGGGGGCTACAAGTCTTTCAAAATAAAATACTCAGGGACATAATTAAAGATGGTCCCAAAACCTCAAATAAGTGTGTGTACGAAACCTGTGATATCGAATTAATTAAAGACTATATTTACGTACAAACAAAAAAATTTT